GTTTTCAATAAAATCATCAGGGGCGATTATTCAGGTCTATCCTAAGTAAGTAGCTCCGTATGGTTTCACTGTCTTCACTGGAACAGAAACAACATAGCTGGCAATTAGCGGCTATGTTAATTGTGAACGATTTATAAAATGTGAATGTTTCGAAGAGCACTGCGTAAAAACTTTTCAAAGGAAACAATAATAAATAAGAAACTTTTCCTGGTAAACAGAAGTTTTAAATAAGTATGTAAATCAAAATCAAAGTCAGGATATGCATTCACAAGTAAAATAGGGTTAAGTGCACTTTCACCTAACCCACAACCCACACCACTCAATAGTACATAATTGTAAGCCATGAAAGCTGGAAAGTTTAAATAAAACTCTTTCAAATGATATATAACTTGATGGGTACAAGTTATATTTTACTCGTGTAATTACAGTAATTAGAGCCAATTAAAAAAATGTCTCTTAACCTGCATCTCTATCTTAAATTACTTTCTGAAGATATTCGTTAAGGTAATTATACACATACATGAAAGAGGATAGTTCAAGTGATCAGTGTGTGCATGCATGTTTATGTTCAGATATATTGTAAGCCTTGTCAAGATATGTGGAGTTATCACCGACGTTATAGACTTTTTCAATACAATATATTCTCAAACTTAATACTGATCAAGATGACAGGTTAATGGCGTTTGTTCTCATTTGCAACATTCTCACAACCCTGAGAATTACCCAAACTCTTCTATTTATGTATAATACCTTACTGATTGTATTTTTTGAATTGGCGACAATTTGACTTATTTACATTGACCTACCATCAGATTGTAACGCTAACTGCCATGCCTTTAACATTAACAGGCATCCCTAAGGCAGTTATTTTCATAACTGCCAATTATCGTGGTTTTAGGGTAACTCTGGATGGTTATTTTCCTCAATTTATTAATAGTTTTCACAAACATACTTAATATAACCAACTTCTAGATTTGTGTATACAGTTTTTTCGACACTTGTTTTGACACGGTTGGCGAGGGCGTGAGATAATATTTAACAATAATGGTTCAACACAACAATAAGTACAGTATGACCGGTCACATCAAACATCTCAAACTGTTTACTCCATCACTTATTTCGTAGCACCTTCTCTCCAAATATTCATGACACGTTGTGTTCAGAATGGATGCGTGAAGAAAATACACTCAATACAAATGCGCGTACAGAAATTTAACAGAGATTGCTGTTTGCACGTAACCCGTCACACGAAGACACTATATTTGTATTAAAGATTAATAAACCCTGGGTAATAAGACTATTATAAATTGTTCATTTCCCGTTTTTAACATATCGAGTACATATGGTGCATGTCTCGTCATTTATACTTATATTTCACAAAAACGTATTTCACCGACTCTATAACGTGGAAACTCATTAAATATTCAGGTAAAATCAAGATAATTTGATAAAATCAAAATAATGTGTTTACATCAGGCGAACGAACTATGGTCACTATGCCGTTATTATATATACATGTGGTGTACACAACATATCCCTCAATCGTGAAACAGCAAGTGTAATCGGTTGTTTCATGAAGATTCGGCACATCTTGTGACGTTGCACCCGCAACACAGTATTGAAAACAAATTTTTGTGGTCTAAATGTGGAATTTGATCAGCTGCGAGAAATATGATTTCGTAATTCCTACATTTCAATGTTGCATGAGTCCATCATATTATTACTTCTTAACAAATTACATCTCGTATAGCAGTGAATGATCCTTGTTAATTTATTAACAGCCAAGACGGTCGGATAACTATGAATGTATGCGATATAAGAGCATACTTAATTATTGTACTCGTATTTATTTCGTCACTAAATTGGCGTCTGTTGTATTGCTCCCGGGGTCTTCATTACACGCTTGAACTATTTTAATTGACTTCGGAAATAATCACGTGTTTAATTTGCCATCCTAAAGAGTATGCGTTCTATGAGAATCAAAAGGCATCAGTTATAGTCATTATCCACTGACGATGAGTTTGAATGGTTATGCACAATTAATTACACAGGTACTACTTACATACCAGTCGTACTATTCGTTTTTTTAGAATAGAGATTGGATTTTACAAGATGAAAATGAAAACTATATAGTCCATGATGCTCTGTGTTTGGGTGTACTGGCTGTTCAGTAGTCACTGTTCTATTCATTGATTTACTTGTTAATAACACGATCATTAAAAATCGGATTTTAATTTTCGTTCATCAAAAAACTGTAAGGAAATGCATTTTTAAAAATTCACTCTTCAGAACAGACATTGTGTGAATTTAGATGATTTACATTTCAAAAGACCGGTATAAATTTCAATTCACTCGTTTAGATTGAAATTTACGTAGTCACGATTTACCATTGTAGCAGGGTAATATTGCCACGAAGCAAAATAATTTTTATACACTCAACTGATTTAAAATAAGATACCTATCTATGATACAAAATTTGATCAAATACATGCGAATCGAAATTTTATTTCGGGTTTTATTTTGAATTATCGTAGTTGCACCCGTTTACTGACAACAAACTAAATATAGATGGTTTTGGAAAGTGTTATTATCATCAATGTCAGTTGTCAGCAGTGAAGTAGAAAACAACTTTCAAATTACCGATCAGATTGACATGTGACGGTTGTCACTAGCCGTATATCATAGTCAGTGCTCCCCTCGAATCATTCCTGTAACTCACATGTTTTATTTCCTTCCTAGATGTTGTAATGCTACTCAGATATAATCACAGGTATCAATAATGTGTGCTGACCTCGACCTAAAGGACAAAATCATCAAACTATACATTTATCATATTCACAGTACCAAAATGTTAAACAGCGGAGTGTTGGAATTGGAACTAAAATTGAAATAAAAACAAAAATAGATAAATAAATAATAATTTGCATGTACAAACAAATAAACATATATTTCAACATGAAACATTGGGGCTTGTGATAATATCATTGATCACGCCCGAATGTCAATTGTGTTTGTGTTACACGATATGCACGTTATGTAATTTATTGCAGAGTGTAATGTGTTATAATGACAGTTACTTTCTTATTTAATGTTATTTATCAGTGGAATTTATTTGCTGGCATTAAATACACATGGTCACATAAGGTTGTGCACCGTACATCCAAATACCAGAGTGGGAAAGATGAAACTAGACGGATCGATAGCGAACGAATCGATTCCGAAACAGCGTTTTGTTAATGCTCGAAAAGCATTAATAATAACCTATATATGTCTCCAATTGTTAATATATATTCTAACTTAGAGAATTGTTCCTTGGATGATCGAGAATGTATATAAAGGTAACCATGTAGTAATGATTTGATAGTTACTCATTTGAAAGTTGGCCATATTAGTATAGTATTTGATGGTATTTTGTTTTATATTCAACTATAGCCAAAAGAAACCCTTTTTCATAGTAAACATGTAGGTGTCATACATGTTCTTAACAAAGTAAGTGTATTATTCATGCCCATTAAAATGTATCGGTTCGTCATCTCATTTGTATTCACACAACGTATTGGTATCTAGGCACATGTGTCATAAAAGAAAACATGCATTTTATTCATTGATATAATCCCTGATGTTAGTATAAACTCATTTAAGTATTGTTCCATATTCTGATACCACAGTGGCAAATTCTAATGCTGAAGATAAGAATACGTCTGCCACTTACCAATAAAGAAAAAACACATTTGCACAGAACGTTCGTATATAACAGTGTCAAAACCCCCTGGCGTGTACGGATGTCTAATAAACTTTCCCATTGCAAGAGTTTCAGAATTTTTTTTGGGGGGGAAGTACGTTTCCTGCAACAACAAAAACTACCATTAAGCCGAGAGTAAAACTCAATTTAGGGTAATTAAGGATTTTGTTGAATCAAGAATAACGATATTTTGTCTAGCATACGATCTGATATTTAGATTAACTGTGAGATTAACGATACGTTTATTGTTAGTTTATCTAGCATTTAATCAGAGATTATTAGTACATGTGACAAGGTATCGTGAAAATAACGATATGTTTATTGTCAGTTTATCTAGCATTCAATCAGAGATTATTAGTACATGTGACACGATATTGTGAAAATAACGATATGTTTGTTGTCAGTTTATCTAGCATTCAATCATAGATTATTAGTACATGTGACACGATATTGTGAAAATAACGATATGTTTGTTGTCAGTTTATCTAGCATTCAATCAGAGATTATTAGTACATGTGACAAGGTATCGTGAAAATAACGATATGTTTATTGTCAGTTTATATAGCATTCAATCATAGATTATTAGTACATGTGACACGATATTGTGAAAATAACGATATGTTTGTTGTCAGTTTATATAGCATTCAATCAGAGATTATTAGTAAATGTGACAAGGTATCGTGAAAATAACGATATGTTTATTGTCAGTTTATCTAGCATGCAATCAAAAATTATCTGTGAATGTGACAATATATATATTAAATATAGTTTAATAATATCCACATTACAAGCCCAAAATGACTTTCGATTTAATGAAAATACATCATTGTAATGATTTAACTCCAGTGTCAATCATATAATATTTAAATCATGTATTCTTTATTATTTTTTTTATACAATATATGGTTGATATCTGGCGGCTGTTTTGTCTTCGCTGAATTATTCAGTGCTGAAACACATACGAGATAATATTATTACAATTTACTAAAATATAACAAAGCAGGCATTTTACAGGTGAAATAGATAGAAATACAATACGGAATGATTACGGAAGTATCAATAGTGAAATTAATTGGTCGCCTTCTACATATAGCTTGACTACAAATTAATCTAGTATTCAAATACTTAAGCTTTTTTCAGTATAATATAGATAGTACTCTACATATAATTATCACTACAAATGTACATCACCATTGTTCATCGCTCACAAAAGAATTCGACTTGTTGAATGGCGAGCAACGTGCTAAGTACATCTCAGTTACGTAACAGTACTACTTATCATCGATACTCCTGTTCTCCCGCCTGCCCTCGTTGTGCTGTTCGCGTCGTCTCCTGTCATTGAAGAACCTTCGGCAGATACCTTCGATCCCTTGCATTTATAAAAGCATGGGAACAGTTTTCTAAATTCTTTTCTGAAGCTCTCATTGAAATATGCGTAAAGTATGGGATTAATCCAGCTGTTACACATTAGAATGAAAACGCACAAATTGGAAGGAACTATTGACCATAGAAAGGGATTCAGTGGAAAGTCGACGGTCCATGCGTAATACATCTGGATCACATTGATTGGCAGCCACGTGATAGCAAACTGCAACACAACAAAACTTAACATTTTGATGGCTTTTCTTTTACTACGGTTGCCGGAATTGGTCGGCGCTTTGCTGAACCACAAGGTGAACACCATGATTGAATACAGCGTGGCTAGTATAACCAGTGGTATCGCATACATGACCAAGAAATCGAAAATTCGTAATATTTTGTCCACTTCAAAGTCTGTGACATAGCAGAAATGGTACATGCTGTGAGCGGTGATTGTGTCGTTCCCTTGCTCTATGTAAATAGTGTCGTTTCTAGACACAATTCCCACCGTTGCAAACTTGCCGCATGAATATCCCAATGCACATACCCATACTAGTACGCACCCGATAGCTGCGTGCTGGAGAGTCAATTTTGGCCTCAATGGCTGAACAATTGCTCTAAAACGATCAACACCAATACAAAGCAGGGAAAAAGTCGTACCACATTGCGCCGCCCAGTGTAGGTAAGCTGTTATGTTGCACACAGCTTTATTGGACGTTTCCATGCCGTAGGCGAATGCACCAATATGAAATGGCACAAATACAACTGCAAGCAATAGATCAGAAACTGACAATGATACAATGAAAATGTTCGTTGCAGTCTTTCGGAGTTTGGGCTGCCGAAACACAGCTATGATGACCCATAGATTTCCAGCGATGATTAAAAACATAAACAGGACACCAAGCGACACCGTCACCTCGGGAGGAGTATCAAATGCGTAAACTTCTTCCAGAAATGCATAATAGTCGAAACTATATTCAAAGTCGAAGTTTGAATCGTTCACTGACATATTGTACCTGTCAAACAAAAAATAAATAAATATACTTAGATAATCATATGATTGATATATTAGAGAATATTTCCACCGAGTAAGCGACATGTGACGTTTGCCGTGTAAGTTAACTCAGATTAATATTCATAGTAATGTTGTTCTGGGCACAATCATACTACTATCAAGTGAAACACAAAATATATGTGTATTGACATTGATACACGGAAAAATATTCAATTAAGTGTTGTTTGTGAGTCCGGAATTGTCATTTTTATTAATTGTGATGAGTTAAAGTGTGCCTTTTTAAATTCCCAGTCATGGATTCGAATTCACACAGCGGCGCTTCAAAATAGGCAAAGAATATATCAAATGTATGTTTTTATGAAGGCCCAAATGAAAATCAAAGTTGACTATAAGGGTGAGTTTGTGTCTTAATTGATATTACATGCACAGATAGTGACAAAGATATATTGTTATAAAGATAAATTCACGTGAAACTAGTGGGCATGTTTTCAATTATCCCACAGTCATGGTCGATATAGGTTCTTGGAATTTGTAGCAGTATTTGCGGTTAACAAATTCAACAGTTGTATTTGCTAGAAATCTTTGTCGGATGTTTCTTGTGAATAGCCAAACATTATTGGTAAAATCCATCGATTTGATTGTAATTTACAAATCATTATACGATTAATAATCACGATTATTCTACATGCACACTTGCTTGCCATTCTCTTGTTCAGCATTTAGGTCACTTTATATACATGTATAATGCAACTGTCACTGCATTTGCATTTCATGGTGTAGTAATGATGCATGACCGGATTTTAGGTTATTCAGACAATACCCACAGAGCGTAAAATGCAAATACAGGTCATGGGCCAGGTTAGTGTATATATTGAAGCCTATAAATACATCTCAACAAATAATAAAATTTCAAATAAAACGTGTCAATGGTAGATTCATTTAATATACATAACCTGGCAGGGAGAAATTAGCATACATAGATGTTCGTAAGGTATCATCTGGGAATTGATTTTCAAGTGCGTATAGTATTCGCTCATCACACTTGAATACAGTTCAAGACTGTTACCGACACGTTTATACAGAAAGCCAACATTCGACGCAGAATTTCGGCAATACTTCAACGATTAAACCTGGCAAGTAGTTGACTCATCTATATATTTCGGGGACATTTCAGTGATTATAAAACGACTAGCTACGAACTACGATGTAGTAATAAATGTGGTCCCGAAATACGCAAATGAACTACATAATCGGAGTACAATAAATGATTGTACGCACTCACTGTCACATGTTAGCCAAGACTGAGATCTAAGCTGGATTAAACGTTTTTTTTTAAATAATACAAGTGTCGAACTAGCGCACCTAGCAGCATCACATTTCTTGCACGTTGCACCAGAGAAGCATCTATTCAAATATACAAAGTACTATAAATTATTTGCCGTATACTACACTGGGTTGTTTATTAGAAATGAGAGTAAGTACAGATATAGATGAAATAACACAACCACAATGATTTTTTCATATGTGACTTCATACTGTGTTCATTTATTTGGGACTGTACATTAGCCTTGAATAACACGAAATTTCGGAGCACGACTTACGTTCTATTTGCTTATTAGTAACATCCTATAGTCACAGAGTCACTACTCTATTAAAATTACTGTGAAAGAAATTTCTAAGTTGAAATTAGACTATAGTTGAGCAATAATGAATTGAAATGGTGCTGACTGATTCATTTTGTACAGAAAAAGTAACATCCATGCATGTGAAGTCATTATATTATTGCGTTGCATTCGTTTTAATTAATTTAATCGAACCACCTTCAGTGATAATACAATGTCCCGGGTCGATAACACGAAACGTGTCGTATGAGTTTTTTTCTCTTTTTTTTCACGCAATTTCTGCGCAAACAGCCTTTAAAAATTTAGTTAAGCCTTAGGCGTGTGACAGATAGGAAATTAATATATTGGAAAAGCTAGTCTGGTGAAGTTGAAAAAATCACAAGTTCCTTTGTATTAGTAATAACGTTGTATGCGAGACAGTTGATAATTTTATTATATTTTTTTAATATCTTTAGAGTACGTACATTGTTTATTATAGTAGTCATGTAATTTGCATATCCACGAAAACACAAGTTTATTTAATAAAATCAATAATATAATATTTGTTATTCATCAAGTTATGAATTGAGAATAGTGCATTGTGGGCAATCATACCAAATGTGATGGATGACGTAATGTGATAACCGCTAGTTCGTTTATCTGACTATTGAGCAGTAGCCTGATGAGTTCTGATTGACTCAAGGAAAACATTTGGCGACATGAAACCGACGTAAATTGATCAGTAATGAAACCATGCGTCATCACATTGACAATAAAAAAATAACACGCACATCCCCTATTTCATTTGCATTTGCTGAGGCCACACGTGTTTGTTCAATATGGTGGACAAAGTCATAGTTGAGAGATATATGTGACGTTATCGACTTCAACGATGAGTTAACTAATCACAATAATCACAGTAATGAGTCACGTAACAACAATATACATATATATATATGAATAATATAGTCAAGACTGAATACAAAAAGACAGCCATTATTATATAAAAACTATTATATTGTCGTGTAACACTGATTTAATCTCATGAATAAAGAATATAAATAATTATAAATTAGCTTTCGCACCCTCGCGTTGAAATATATTATTCTACATAGTTGAGTGGAAATATGTTTGATATTAATGTTATTGATTGATTACAACCACGCGAGTCGTCAACAGGAATATATAACACATTTTTTTCCGTAGTCGACGTTATAGTTTCGTGCGCACAGGTCATATTAAGTCGTTTACAGTGAACTAGACCAAGAATTGACCTTCGCTCAATAGCGGCCTATTTCGTTGTATATACTTAAATTGTGCCCTAAATTCAGTTCAGTGACACGGAGAATCATCTTCCGGATATCAGTTATATAAATTGTTCCTCCCAACATTGCACACCATAAATGTAGCTCAAACTGTGAATTTATAAATTTTAATGCGCGCTCTGTGATGAATGCGTTTATATCGTAGGTCGATATTATAGTTATCGCCTCAGTAAGCTTACAATATCTCGCACCTACAATGCAAACACGAACTATAATGTCATTGACAGTGAAGTGTTGTTTTGAATTGTTGTTATACTACAATTCCTATTGCGTGTTGTTGTGCAATAATGTTGAATTAATTCAAATATCAAGACAATTTCTTATATTGTTTTCTAAATTTGCTTTGTCAAGTTAGACAGATTGTTACCGAAATCAATTTCATTGGCAATATCTGGATATATTTATTAGAATACTGTAGAATACTTAATTTTTGCTTGGAATTTATTTTCGCTACTTTTGCTGTAGGGATGCTTCAGTGAAAATAAAATCCAGCGAATATACTTTTTTTCCTATATGTCACATTCAACTCATCAAAAATCAGTGAAAGTAAATTCCATACAAAACACTCAAAAAGTCTTTTCAGCGAAAATTAATTCCAGCTAAAATAAAGTCTTCTACAGTAATACAGGTATATGTATTCGGTGTTCTTGTTATATGCTTTTAAGTCCATTTTACCCATACTAATATGGCGGTTTAAAAAAATGAAATGACTTTAGAAAACTCAATTAAATCACGTTTCAACTGTTTCAACCTTATAAAAAATTAACAGATTTGCTGGCACTACACTATTCTATGTAACAAGCCAAATAAATATATACTCATTGCTATTTGAACGAAGGTCCAATGCTGGTATTTTCACAATTCACACATGGGTTTAAATAAATCTCGACCAGTATAAGCGAATATAACGCAGCTACTAGTGATTGTCGTGATAACAATACAAATGAATAACTTGTGAAAAAGAAACTTTCGGAAAGTATGGTCTCAAGCAAATTCGTAAGAAATGAGACCCGAACTTGACCTTACCTTAGGTCTACGTTCATTCAAACTATTAAACAAAGCACAAAACAAAATAGATACAAAATAGCCACGAATGAAGATATACCCGGCATTTTTAGGGTCAAGTATTATCATTGGAAAGTTGTTTTGATCAAAGGTCATTGACTTTCGATACTTTTAGAGTGTTTTTATACATAGCTATATATAGTACACAAATTGTAATAATATTGCACAATGCCACGCATATTAATTAGAATGATGGCGCACAAACACGTGGCCATTGGCCGTATAATATATACATATCACGTTTAAAACACAACACTCTCTGCCTTACTTGCATTATAATGCAGATCCGATAGCGACAAATAAATGGTTACTTGTTATTCCTCAGGTACTCAATACAAGAATGGTATGATAATATATTGGCTCATGGCGTATTGTATATGCTACTTTAACTCAAAGTGCCTGTGTTCATTCTTTGTGAATGTTTGAAGCAAAAATAACAATAAGAACCAAACAAAACTAATATGCAGACTACATATAATAAAATCAGTAGAAGTAAGATATATTTACCTCATGGTATAAATAATGTAATGTCAGGTAATTAGAATAAAAAGAGCACAAGGGCACCGGTTATATATCATTCTTAGTCTTAATCAAAGAAGTGAAATTGATAACCTCTGCAAAAAGGTGTAAGTGTTTTAAATTCATTTTATTTATCTATATTAAATCTACCTTGAGATTTGTATTGTACATTCGCGTCAAATAACTGTGATTTGTGTAACTTTTTCTTGAATATGATTCGATCATTTAACAATGTACGACTGCCCACATTCACACAACTTGATTTTTTGTGATTTTTTAATTTGCTATGACTCAAAGCATTCGACATTTTCTGGATTGTCAACATGACGGTACGCATAAATATTTTTTATTTGGTAACCGCCGCAATCAGACCTCGACAGATACGACAACTACACATCCCATACACAGTGGAATGATATGATACTTCACACAATGAGCATACACGTACCATATTTGTATACATGTTGTAAGTTCGTGTGTCCTA